TGAAATAAAAGACATTACAATAACTATTTCAAAGAAACTTATGTTAGATGAAAATGAGGTGAAAAAGTGGGAGACTCGAAAAAGACGAAACGCAACAAAATCTAAATGAGGTTGAAAAACTAATAAATGATATATATAAATATTACGAACGAAAAGCAGAAGCAAAAATAAATAGGAATGAAAAAGGTGAAAAATCCTCAAACTATGTTTTTTTTTTTAGATTAGAACAAAAATGAGGACAAGAAAAAATTATGGTCAAAAAGTAAAAGCCGAAAATGGCACATACAAAACAAAATACAAATGAAACCTTAGGCGAACAATTTAAATATTATGAGAAACTCTTTACCTCGGGGGGTTGGCATTGAGAGGCTGGGGAAAAATTATTGAAAAATAAGAATGAAAACTCTCTCTGAAGCAGAAAAACGTTGATGTGATAGTGAAATTTCGAAAAATTAAATTTTCAAAGCAACTAAATTAATGAAAAGGGAAAAATCACAAGGGGAAGATGGCATAACTGCAGAATTTTATCAAGAGTATTAATTTTTGATACAAAATGAGCCTACGCAAATAACAAAAAAGAAACTTTTTTTTGATAAAACGCTTTCCGAATCGCAAAGATTTGGAATAATAACCTCATTATATAAAAGTGGGGAGAAGGTGGATATTAAGAACTGGCGACAAATAACATTATAAAATGTAGACTGAAAAAATTGCTAAACATTTCTGACTGAACGTTTGAAAATTGTTCTACCGTCAATTATAGAAACAGACCAAACAGGCTAATAGAATGCTGCAAGATATTTTCGAATATATAGATATGGAAAATGAGGAAGGATCCATAATTTTCCTTGATTAAACAAAAGCTTTTGATTATGCAGAATGGGAATGGTTAGATGAATGTTTAGAAAAATTTCAATTTTGGGAAATTTTCCGGGAATGGGTTAAAATGTTATAGATTTTAAAAACAGTGCCGATGGCAGCCACAACTAGGACTAATAAAAAAATTCAAGGAATTAACTTACATCACCCAAACACAGAAATTGAAAACAATGAAGTTAAAATAAACATGTTTGCAGACAATACACAATTTTTTAATAGAACAGAGGAATCAATCGAAGTAGCATTAAAGGTTTTAGAAATATATGAGAAAGCATCGGGAGCTAATATGAATTATGAAAATACTGTACATGCTGTAGGTGTATATTTGAGTCGTTAGAAAAATAAAACACTAAAATATGAAAAAATAGGTGGCCAAGTGAACCAATTACAGCATTAGGAGTTATGCATGGATACAGTGTTAATGTAGAAGCTATATGGTTCGAAAAAATAAAGAAAATTAAAGGGTGTCTTGAGGTTTGGAAATCTCGTGACCTAACATTCAAGGGCAGGGTCGTAATATTAAAATCATTGATCATATCTAAAATAGGGTTTAAAATTGAAATGCAAGGAATATCTGAAAAATATAGAAAAGAAATAAACAATATCACGTGGAATTTTATATGAGAGGGAAAAGTAAATTTAATTAAAAGGGACGCGTGTTGCTTATAGTAGAGGAAGGGGGATGGGTATGATCAACAAAGACTCGTTCATTAAATCTAAACAAATCAAAAGTATGCAAAAGATATTTTGATCAGAAAACAATAACTGGAACACGATAGCCAAATGGTGGTTACAAAATATTATATCAAATATAATTGTGAAAACTTTTTAGCAAAATGTTTTGATTTACGAGGATTGCATTTGAAAATGTTCCTAAATTTTTATCCTGATTTACTAAAAACATGTTCTAAATTTTTAAGTATACAAAGTCCAATAAAAAGAAACGATATCCTAAACTAACAAATATTTGGAAACATAGAAAATCAATATAACAGAAAACCTATTTTATTCGCTAACTTCGGAAAAAGTGGAATTTATTCAATTAAAGATATTTGGTATGCGACGTTATATACAATATCATAAAAGATAAAATTAACTGGATTTCGGAATGGACAAGATTGAAATCAGCTATTCCAAAATCTTTCATGGACAGGCCAAAAGACGTCAACCTACAACCCGAACCATAAAAAAATGGTTATTACGTTATAAATACTTTTGAATTTTACGATAAACGGAATAAGTTAGTTTACCCAAATAAAATATCTTTGCAATTAATCCAATATTCGTTAAATTTAGATATAGTTTCAAATTGTGAAATAAAATGGAATATTCAGTATAATTTGGAATTACCTTGGAAAAAGATAAGGAGAAATTTGAATAAAAATATGTCAAACTGCGAGCTACTGCTCACTGATGATATACCCGCCCGCCCAGGAAGTTGTTGAGTGATGAATCTGAAAACGCATTACACGGTATAGCTGACTTATATTAACCCTGAAACCAAATTTCAGAAATCCTTATGATGTAGTTCCTGAGAAAGATTCGACGAAAAATATTCATGGGACGGATGTACGGACTGACGGATGGACGGATGGACGGATTGACGGACCGACGGACGGACGGATAGACAGAGGTAAAACAGTATACCCCGCGTTTTTAAAGCGGGGGCATGAATATGTCCTCTAGAAAAGCAAATTAAATTAGCTGGAAAATTGTTCATAACATTATCCACACGGACCAAAAAATATTTAGAATGGGCATATCCAATAATGGTAAAAGCCATTTTTGTAAAACAGAAAATGAAACCCTCACACATCTTTTTCACAGCTGTAACATTATAAAGGTTGTTTGGAAACATATTTTTGATTGTTTTAAAATGTATAATGTGCTGAATAATACAGCAGATATCCCCATGAGGGAAGAACATATCATACTAAGAATGTACGATAACAATAAAAAATATAATGTCATAACCAATACGATTCTGAATACAGTCAAATGGATTATTTGGAAATGTAGAAATATAATCAAATATCTGTCTAAAAGCTTTACTTCCAGCCAATTGATATTATATGCAAAACGGGAACTGGGCAGTTTAATTGAATATATGGATATATCATTATCTTCAAAAAAAGAAAAATATGCAGCTGAAATAAAACTTACTGCAAACCTTATATTTTAAATAAATCACTTAACTTTGTACTTACATTCTTTCCTATTTGCAACATTATACATTCACCAACAGAAATATAGTATAAATGTATTAACAACGTCGAGCATGTGACCTATTAAAATCACTGACCGACACATTACAATGTAATCCAGGTGTAAAAAGTACAAATTTTAGATGTCAATTATAAGTAAAGGTAATGTGTTGATTATAACAAGTGTGTTATTTGATGTATTTTATGTAATATAGAATGTTATACTGCTTAATCGAATATTTTGTCTGTGTAATGAATACAAATATTACTTATGTGCTAAATATAGACAATAGTTTTTTTTTATATTAGAGTCCACCGTTTATCCCTGGACGATGGAACATTGTGTATACTTCCCTGGGTTATACAAGGTAAATTATATCCAGGTGTTTTTCCATAAATGTATTTCAAGTCTTAAAAAAAAAAAAATTCTTAAAAAAAACTCACATGTAATAAAGTATCATAAATTAGTCAAAAATGAAATAAAAAGATGTTTCGTCGATTTATGGTCCACCTGCACTTATGTATTATTTGAAGCTTACATTATTCTGTAAAACTTCATTTTGTATGACAAAAAAGGCATAATACACCTACTATTTTAAGGTAATGTTTCACATGTTTCACATGTTGCACATTTACTTTAGTATGCTTGAACGATTTAGTTGAAACCTTACAATATTTTGGTGATTGGAGAAAGTAAGTTCCCGTTAATTTTGATATTTTCCAGATTGTCTTTTCCTAGTTATAGGATCTCAATATGCATAGAAAAAACATGTCTTGAACTCCAGGCACACCTAGTTACTTTTATTGCAGATTAATCTGTGATGATTATAATGCACTGCTACACTAAAGAAAATTTTAAGAACGCTATCACGATTTGGTTGACCGTTATAGTATAACTGCTGCATAAATAACGACTGTTATGTACTGTTTCAATTGTTGATATCATCTCAGGTTTTTGGTGTTTTTTTGTGGCTCAGTCTTGAGTTTTCTATATTGTGTATTGTATACTGTTGGTTGTCTTTTAAACTGTTTTGTATTTTGCCATGGCGTTGTCAGTTTATTTTCGACTTGTGTGTTTCATGTTCCTGTGGTATCTGTCGCCTCTCACCTAGAGACAATCATCAAATACAGTATAAATTTTAATTTAATATTCAATAGTATATATTGCTGCTTTTGTTGAAGATATCAATTTGGACAATGGTAAAACTGATCTATTTCAGGATGATAAACAAATAAAATCATAGCCATTACAATAATAAATCTGTAATCTCCAGGAAAAAAAACTATAGGATTTTCATATTGAAGAAATCAAATAAGTATTTTGAGTCAACATTTCACTCAAAACTTATCAAGTGAAGAGGAAAGAAAACGGGGGAGGCAGAGTCTTATACAATTTACGCGGGGAAGCGATTGATATAATTGACCAACTGAATCTTAAAAAGCTGGAATTTGATTTATCGAATTAATATTAAATGAAAATTGCACTCTATATATTTTGTTCCAATTGAGCGCGTTCTGGATTTTACAACACATTATCGTTAAAACCCCCAATTATGAAAGTCAAGGATGTACAGATACTTTACTTGATTACATATATATATAAATATATAATTGCATTTTATACCTTGTTTTTTTGTTGTGATACTATTCATTTTCAGATTGTATAAGTTTGTGATATAGGATTTTAGAGGATTTTTCTTTACCTAAAGCTAAGATCGATAAACTTTTATCAAAGAAAAAATCGTGATATCATTTAGTAACAAAACGGAAGTATTTAAAGCGTAGAATGAAACTATTCAATGTATACATTTTATCAAATCTTAGTTTTATTTTCATATCTCTTTCTCAACCGCGTACAATACATGATTTCGTGTAAAAAACAGAGTACAAAAAAATCATAAATCATAATATACACACCTTAAGAAATTTCCTCCTCTGCTTTAAGACGATTTTGATTTTGTGACAATGACACGTGATTTAAAGACATGTGATAAACTTAATCATCCACAAAAACAAAAATTTTGATGTACAATCCTTAATGATGCGTTTATCTAATGGCTTATGACACTGCTTTCTCAGTACTTTACTTGTCTGTCTCGTGTAATTACGTATCTCAATGTTCTAAATTCACCTGTTCTACCGAACATAAACTATTTATGTGCAAAACGGTATTAATATTCTGAAGCCTACTATTCAACCTTATCTATATTCTACATCAACTAGATCCAAGGTATATGTAAATGAATCTAATTCTTTTTAAAATTTTTAATATTGGAAAACATGTACGTTTTCATTCCAGTACATGCCTTTTCATGACACATTATTTTAGATATGTATTTAGGAATTAATTGGACTTTAACTGTCAAGGGGCAGGGTGCAATAGTGGTCTTATTTGGCCTTTTTGTTTACTGAAATTTGAACATACAATGTAATATTTCAATGAAAGTCAGTTTTAATGTTTAGGTTTGGTGAAAATATAAACCAAGAGTGTTTTATTCATAACGTCACAATACATGTAGTTTAGAAGTCAGGAAAAAAATCCTTCTACGTTTTTTGGTGAAAAATATAATGATTTTGGTATTTTTAGTACAGTTTTTGACACACAAATATAGAGCGCATTCAAGTAGCAACTATATGATTAACCACAATGTTTGTCTATATAAACAAAACCTTTCACTTATATACCTATATGGAGTTATTTTCTTTCAGAACGATAGGTCATTCTTTCGAAGATTCAACCCGGACGATACCATGTTTCAATGAAATATGCTCCAAGGCATAAAATAATGACCTGTGTGAGGTCATTATTTTCCTTGATAAAAATGCATACTATAATATACTTCAAAGTTATATTCGTCTGATAGTTGCCGATTTGGGAATTTATTTTTTAAAGTTCAATCTATACTATGATAGGTGTAAAAAAAATCGTCATTGTCCGCATTTTAATTTCAGAAACAAAAAAAATGTGAAGTTTTTACTAGTTTATCGCTTCAATACAGAGACATTATCATATATATGTGGGATGAATTTTAATGTAAAACTGTAAAAAAAAAAAAAAAAGAAGCCAGATTTTACATATTCGTGTGTAAGATTTTGTAAATCTTATTGATTCACACTGAAAAGGAAATCATACTGTGACCTACATGTACATGTATTGATATTCGATTTCGTGTTACATGTACATGTATCAAGATTTCGAGCGCTCTTCGTGTCAGTTCTTAACTTTTTTACATTTATGTATATGTATACCTTTTACTCTATCAAATGATCAACTAATAAAATATTCTTTTATTCTATTGAATGACATCCACTTACCTCACAATGGGGTCGGGTGGGAGGGAAAGGGGGGGGGGGGGGTGAGGGTATAGAATTATATCCTGATTATCTGTTAAAAAATGTATTGCTATTCAATAGAAAATCAATTTTGAATATTTCATTCGATTCAATTAAAATTGTGGAAAAAATAATCTGTTTTCCGCGTTAGAAATGTCATTACAAATTACAAGTAGAAAAAACATAGCCCCCCCCCTTTTTTCAATAAACTAAGTTTGAACAATAAATTACTTACAAAGTGTCTTGTATTTTTCATACACCGTTATCGGATGGTAACAATTCATTTGTTTCTTACTTCACGCAGTTACAGTAATATTTGTATTGTGTATGGATAATAATTACTAAGGTTTATATCTAGATTAATTAGTGAGTTTTATTTCACATTCTAAATTAGCTTTAGGGCGTATTAAAACCTGTACGCATTAGAAAGGAATATCCCACTTTAGTGTGGTCGGTAAAATAGGATGCTAAATTTTGCAAATCTTTATAAAAATTAATATTTTTTGACGGTATATAAGTCAGATAATGCATATTTAAAGGTTTTTCTTGTGGTAGAACACACCTCGGGGTGTCAGGATTGCCCAAAGAAAGGCCGACCTACGGTCGGTCTTTCATTTGATCAATCCTGACATCCCTCGGTGTGTTCTACGACAAGAAAAACCTTAACATATGCATTATTTATAACGTAATAATTTATTTTTTTGGGGTAAAATAATTGGAATTTTTCTATCTCTAGACGACTATCTGTAAATAATAATGATATTTTAAAGATATTACATTTCAAACTTAGCTCATACTTAAAGATTATTTTAAAGCATAAATCACATTTTCTGTAAAATTTCATTTTTTATGACAAAAAGGGCCCATAATGCACCTTCTTTTTTAAGGTAATGTTTCACATGTTGCACATTAACTTTAGTATGCGTGAACGATTTAGTTGAAACTTACAATGTTGTGGTGATTGGAGAAAGTTAGTTTCCGTTAGTTTCGTTATTTTCCAGATTGTCTTTTCCTAGTTATAGGATCTCAATTTGCATAAAAAAAATAATTCTTGAAATCCTGGCACTCCTGCTTACTTTTATTGCAGATTAATCTGTGATAATTATAATGCACTGATACACTAGAGAATATTATAAGGACGTTATCACGATTTGGTTGACCGTTATGGAATAACTGTTGCACAGATAACGACTAGGTTAGTACTTGAGCAATACGACGAGTGCCACATGTGGAGCAGGACCAGCTTACCCTTTCGGAGCACCGGATATCAGCCCAGGTTTTTGGTGGTTTTTTTGTTGTTGCTCAGTCTTTAGTTTGCTATGTTATGTTTTGTATACTATTGTTTGTCTTTTGGTCTTATTCGTATTTTGCCATGGCGTTGTCAGTTAATTTTCGACTTATGAGTTTGAATGTCCCTATGGTATGCCCTAGAGACATCATCAAATACAGTATAAATTTTAATTCAATTTTCAATATTATGGCTATTGCTCAACTTGGCAAAATGTCTGTTTCAGGATGATAAACAAATAACATCAAAGCCATTACAATAATAATTCTGTAATCTTCAGGAAAAGAAACTATATTATTGAAAAAATCAAATGAGTATTTTGAGTCAATATTTCACTCAAAATTTATCAAGTGAAATTTCTCACTAGGAAAATTTATTATCAAAATATTCATTAAGATCGGCAACATGAACTGTTTTAAAATTATATTTGTTTAAAACGTATAAGTTTGATTCCCACTACAACTCTAAATAGTTTCTTTTGATCCGGCTTATTTATAAATCTATGTTTTAGAAATCATGTTTTTTTTCTTTAAACCACTTATTTCACATCTTTGTCCTTAACACAAAATTTTTACCATCAAAAGTCATTAGCAGTACATAATATTGACAAATATATTTTTTCTGTGGGTCTTGAATATAGAAAATAACAGAAAAAAGTTAAAATTGAAAGTTTGATTCAATGTTGTTGTTTTTATATTGACATACCTTTATGGAATGTTTGTTTCAAATAGAAGCAATTTTGAAATACCGCTATTCAGAAACCAAGCAGCAGTTTGTAGCATTTGTTTTTTAGGCAATATTTTTTTTACCCTGATATTTCAAATTCATTAGCTGACGCTAAAAGGCTGAGCTTGTTTTGACGAATAAATTAAACATAGTAAAACAATGCATGCAATTACTCTATTCAGACATTGCACAACACTGACAAGTGCATTGGGCAAACTTCTGTTTAACAGAAACGTTTATTAATAAACCTGAAGCTACCAAAAAGAGAAAATTTATATAACAAATAAAAGATTAATAACAAATTACTGTATAAAAGACATCTAGTTATTATAAATTCTTAATAATAAAATACTCGTTAATGCAATATATGAGATAAACCATCTGAAACTGCTAAACGAATGATTTTTCATCAAAACATATTTAACGATATTTTACACCAGCATTTATATATTAAGCAAGACGTTTCGTCATATCGTCATATATTATCGTTTTATGAACGTGTATAATTTACCAGCGGATTAAACCACAAATTGAGCATTAAACAAAAAACTATAAAGCAATGTGCACTGGTGGATATTTTAATATAATACTATAAGAGTACTATGCAATTTACCTGTGGAAGCGATTTGTATAATTTACCTACTGAATTTTAAAAAGCTGGAAATTTATTTCAAAAATAGCTGTTGACTGTCATATTAAGTTGTCTAACATAATCAACACCACAAATGAACAACTTTTTCTAATCTTAATTTGACTTGAAAAATTTACTATCTCTATGCAAAATCCTTCTAATCCATGTTGATTTAAGTGCTGTGAAAAACATATTGAAATCAAGCATTTTCAAACCTCACTCCGAATAATCTTTGATTTGAATAACATTCTTAATTCTTTGTATAGATGAGTTCCATATGTACTTATAAATAAGTTCATTTATTCTCATAACAATATCATCTGAAAGGTTTTGTCCAGAGATAATGAGATGGTTTACAATAAAGAAGACTAGAGATTTAATCACAGTTATTCCCCATTTTACAGTTAAATTCCTTTTAGACCATAGATTATAAGTATTTTTAATCTGTACAATTCTTTCAGAATAATTTATCTTAACAATATTTTCAAGATCTACATCAAAATTAATACCTAGTCATTTAAAAGTAGTTTCAACCCAAGACAGATTTCTGTCAGGAAATAATGTATCTGTACTATATTGTTTGCTCCCAAACTAAATAACTTGTGTTTTCGATAAGTTAATATTCATTCCAGTTATTTTACAACCCAGTCTAAAATATTTTCCTGCAGGGATTTTTCAATCCAATCCAAAATCAAAGACGTTTAATCAGCAAATTATGACAATTCATGTTCAACCCGTGTGACCTTGATACTACTTTTGTCACTATTTCCCTTTATTTTCAATGGAAGAATCTCAACACATAAAATGAAAAGGTATGCAGACAGCGAGTCTGCTTGTCTACAACCTACAAAGGAAATCTATCAATAGTAAACGCCCTGGTATTTCATGTTTTTGATGTTCTTCTGTATATTGCAATATATCATAAATGAGTCTTATATTTTCCATAATATACCTACCACTAATAAAACCAGTCTGATCAACATTGATTAATTTATCAAGGACACTCTAAAATCTGTTTGCAATAAATGCTGATCCTATTTGATACACAGTACTCAGTAAAGATATTGGGCGCTAGTTTTTTAAAAGGTGGCGGGGTTTATTCCCTTTCCGTAGGCAAGTAATACTCCCTTGTTTTTGTGTAACAAATAGTTCTCCTGTTTTTGCACAATAATTTACAGAATTACAATTCAAATTTGAAGATCCCTCCAAAACAATTTATAGACCTCTGCAGAAAAAACATCAGTTCCATGAG